AAGACGAGTCAGAGGAGGAAGAAACATATGAATTCTTCGGAGAAGCAGCAGAACTACCAGCACCTACCGAGGAGCCGACGCCACCAGTACAAGGTCCCCAGGAGATTGAAGTCATCGGGGCCGAGTATAGCTGCTTCCGAATTCCCATGAAGGGACTCCCAGTTCGCGACTGGCCCAACCAGTGCCTGCTTGTTACCGGAGACCAAGTCGAAGCTGGCGACACCGACGATATCATTGGTATCCCCCACGCGCTTCTGGAACGGAAGTCAATTCACGCGTTCGCCACCGACGCTGACGACGCCACCGACGCAGGACCTGAAGGGGAGGCAGACGACGAAGCAACAAGACAGAAATATTATCAGAAAACAGTGGGCTACCGTGCGGAACCAGAACTTTGGCATCAGCGGCTCGGGCATCCTTCTCACACGACACTCAAGAACTCTCTGAAGGCTGGTGTTCTCGACAACGAAGCTCTGCTCCTCCCACGAGGAGGATTCCTTACCGCAGACTCTGAAGACCCGCCGTGCACAATATGTCCCGCCGCGTCTCTCGCCCACAAGCCTTTCCCCGACTTACCGCCCGGCTACGAACGCTACAAACCACTCGAGAAAGTCTACAGCGACTTCATGTGCCTGACGCAGGACGGACTCGATGGCGAAAGATACACGCTGACCTTCATCGACGCCAGCACTCGCCACGTTTGGGCCGTCAATACCGACTGCAGATCACTCGCCTTCGAATGCTTCATCGCGTGGATGAAGCGAGCTGAACGACGATCGGGACTTAAACTGAAGAGCTGGCAAACGGACGGAGCTCTTGAGTTCTTCTCAGACGAGTTCAAGGAGCTCTTCCGGAAGAAGGGGATTGAACATCTGGTGTCCCTGCCCTACGCTCATGAGCAGCAAGGAGTAGCGGAACGGACAAACAAGAGCCTCGCCACCAGGATGAGGGCCCTGATGAAGCAGTCGGCCATCCCAACTCGTTACTGGCCGTTCGCCATGAACCATGCAGTCCGGCTGCACAACTTGCTGTCATCCCGAAGCCTCGAGAACAACAACTCCCCCTACAAGGCGTGGACGGGCAGAAAAGCAGACATGCGTCTGCTTCGGGTGTTTGGCTGCATGGTACAGTACAGACCACACACAGCAAGGACCGGAAAGTTTGCTGACCGGGCTCGCTGGGGCATCCACCTCGGAATCGAAAAAGAATTCAAGGCGTGGATCGTGCTGGACTACGCGACACACGAGGTGACGAAATCACGTGACTGCATCTTCTACGAGTAGCTGACTCTGCCACTGTTCAACGAACACCGCGAAGCTGACAGGGTACCAGAAAGGGTTTTCGAGGGACACCGCAGCTTCGCAACTCCACACGATGAAGCTGACCTGGCGGAAGATGTGGATGCAACAAATGTCAGCCAGTTTGACAGCGCACCCAACATCCCCCTTACAAACCCGTTCCAAACTCCAACTTTCATCCCTCTACACCAACCTAACCCCGATGATACAACTCGCGAAGCTCACAACTTCAACAGCAACGCCCGCCAGTCGCCAGATGCCGAGTTACCACCACCAAATACCTCGCAGGATTCCATCCGCCCCGGCAACGACAGTGACGACGACGTGGTCGAAGTAACCAGCTTCCACGACTACGACCGTCTGCACTACGAAAAGACCAACGAAACTGGTCTCCGCATCCTCGGGCTCGCCGTCGATGTTCGCCACTCCTCCCCCAAGGAACCCACCACTGTTCGCCAGGCTCTCTCCGGCCCCGACAGTGAGAAATGGAAGGCAGCCATGGCCAAGGAAATCGCGTCGCTCAAAAACCGTGGCACCTGGAAGCTGGTTCCCCGGACATCTGCGAAGGGGAGGAAAATTCTCAGCGGAAAATGGGTGTTCCGCATCAAGACACTGGCGGACGGCTCCATTGACAAATACAAAGCGCGTCAGGTGGTACGCGGCTTCGAGCAAACACACATGGTGGACTTTGATCTCACCTACGCACCAGTCGGCCGGCACACCTCCGTACGAATCCTCATCTGCATCGCAGCCGTCAAGCAGCGCCCACTCCGCCAGATCGACGTCGGCAGCGCATTCTTATACGCTCCGGTCGACGCAATCATCTTCGTCGAGCAGCCACATGCCTTCGAAGAGAACGAGGGCGCCATCTGCTTGCTCCAGAAATCCCTTTACGGGATCAAGCAAGCACCTCGCCTGTGGCAGCAATACCTCCACACGGTGCTAACAAACCTCGGCTTCCAACAGCTACCCCACCACCTCGGAATGTACAGGAAGGAGTCGCGCGGCAAGTTCATTCTCCTCGTCGCCTACGTCGACGACCTCCTCTACACCGGTGACGACACGAAGCTACTGGACCAGTTCGAATCAGACATCAAGGAGCAGCTGGAAGTCACCGTCAACCACGAGGTCACACAATTCCTCGGGCTCAACATCACCCAGTCTGCCTCCTCCATTCATCTCTCTGCCGCCAAGTACGCCGAGACACTCGCGAAGAAGTTCGGCATCGCACCAATCAACCTCTCCACCCTGTTTCGCACTCCTCCTCCTAACCACGAACCGGACACCACGCCCCTCTCTCTTGAGGATCATCGGCTCTATCAGCAGCAGCTCGGGTGCCTTCTCTTTGCCGCCGTCACGTGCCGGCCCGATCTCTCCTACGTCGCAAGCCAGCTCGCTCAGTACATGAAGCGACCTGAAGGGGAGAATCTACAGGATCTGCGCCGCGCACTCCAATACTTCATCTCTACTCCCGACGTCGGCCTCACCTACGAAGCTAACTTAACGGCCACCCTGCAGCTGCACGGCTACGTAGATGCTGACCACGCGGGAGACGTTGACAACAGACGCTCCCGCACAGGATTTATTTTTCAACTCCAACCTGCTGGACTCATCTCATGGAACTCCCAGAAGCAGGAACTCATCGCCCTTTCGTCCGCTGAAGCAGAATTCATCGCCGCCAGCGCAGCTGTTCGCGAAGGACTGTACCTGATGGAGCTCCTGCATGAAGCGAAAGTAACGATGAACGGGCACTTCACGTTACTCTGCGACAACCAGAGTGCGATCAAGATCGCAAACAAACCCGGCTTCGTGAACCGCACGAAACACATCGCCCTTCGCTACTTCTTCGTCAAGGACGAAATCGACAAGGGCAAAGTCAAGCTCACGTACTGCCCGACTGGTGACATGGCAGCCGACTTCCTGACAAAGAAACTGCCACGTCAACAGTTCCAGCACTGCGCCAATCTTTGCGGGATCACCAAGAAATCCCACGTGGCTCACCTTCAGGAATGAAGGGGAGTGTTGGAATAACCGAAAGGTTATCACAAGCATTCCCGAAGGCTCTCCACTATCGCGTCTCCTCATAGCGAAACAGACGCCTGTACCAGTACCGCATGAGCTCATATAGAGCACGCGGAAGATCGAGGGTCACGCGAAGGTCAACAGTCGAAGACAGTCAACAGTCGTGACCCTTGACTGCCCAGTAACCGCACAAGGCAGTTGCGAAATACAACATGGTAACTGTCTAGAATAGCAATAGTCGTGGGTTACTGTAGCAATGCAATTCAGTTAATAAGGGAATGTACCCCTCGGAGTACATGGCTAGCTAGGCTTGCTATTTATACTCTTGTACTTCTATCTTATAATCATCTTGTTCTCTTTCAATTTATTGACAAGGTCATTGAAGAGACTTCACAGTTCTCTCTGCTATACTTGGCAACCTTATCCTATACACTACGATTCTTAGTTATAACATCAGCTGCTACTACTACTCTCATGATCAGTCAGTACACGAATATATTTGTTAAAGCTGCCAAAAAAAAAAAAAAAAAAACCTAAGTGCCCATCCGCTATAAAATGTGCCGTAACAGATGACTATCTATGATAAGAGAGTGAATTCTGTGATGACACTTTGATGTTTGTGACTCTCTTTATACCGTACCCCGAAGCTTTCCCAATTTGCTTGATGGAGCAGGGTTACAAATAACTCCATGACGGACGAAGGTCAACAACACATCGTGTGATTCAAGGCCAATCACGTGTGCCGCCACTCCAACAAGTCGTCGCCACGCTGTGCTCTGTTCACGACCTCACTCGCCTCTCGCACTGCACGCCTCCCCTACACACGCCGTACTGCGCGAGGGGCGACGAGGCAAGTGCGAGCAGTAGCGAGGAGGAGGCGGGGCGGCACGGCGGGCGCGGCGATGATGCGATGGGTGGAGCACGCGTCCACCATGGCCTCGGGCGACCCGCCCTCCGCCAGAAGGTGCTGCCGCTCTCGCCCCGCCGCTCTCGCCCCGCCGCTCTCGCCCCGCAGCCCTACCCCTTCTGCCTCGTCCCTATCGCCTATACCGCCCCCCGACTGTCCCCCGCGAGTGGCCTGCGCGCAAGCGCGGCGGCGGGGAGGCGTGCAGCCATTCGCATGGCGCGCGCTCGTTGTCCCGCCCTCCACGCGCCTCCTCGCTTGCGTGCATGTCCTCTGCGCCCTCACCCTTCCCCTCGCCCTTCCCCTCGCCCTTCCCCTCGCCCTTCCCCTCGCCCTTCCCCTCGCCCTTCCCCTCATCCTTCCCCTCGCCCTTCCCCTCGCCCTTCCCCTCGCCCTTCCCCTCACCCTTCCCCTCGCCCTTCCCCTCGCCCTTCCCCTCGCCCTTCCCCTCGCCCTTCCCCTCGCCCTTCCCCTCACCCTTCCCCTCACCCTTCCCCTCGCCCTTCCCCTCACCCTTCCCCTCACCCTTCCCCTCGCCCTTCCCCTCACCCTTCCCCTCGCCCTTCCCCTCACCCTTCCCCTCACCCTTCCCCTCGCTCTCACCTCGCTGACTCGCCATGCGTATACTGCCCTTCCCGCGCTTCCACAACCACTCAACAACCTCCGGTCCCCTCGCTCCCTTCCCCGTGCGCCTTCCTTCTCTGTGCGCCCCTGTGCGCATTGCCGCTCCACCACCGCCGTGCTGCTGCCGCTGCTGCCGCTGCTGCTGCGTGCAGTGGGCACGTGGCGGTGCTGGTGAAGCGGTGCAAGCTGGTGCTGTTCGGTGGGCTGCGGGACAAGGACTTCCTGGACGACGTCATCGTGCTCGATACAGGTGCGCTACGCCCTGCTGCGCTTCATACACATGCAACCTACAAGGCGGCAGGTAGGGGGCAGGAAGGGGAGTGAAGAGAAAGGGAGCGAGAAGCAGGGAGGGGCGGGGCAGGGTGGGTGTGGATGGTCTAAGGTAAGGGGTGTTACTTGTGGAGACCGCGCGCCTTTGCTGTGCTCCATACCCCTCCCCTCCCTGCCTGCCCACTCCTTCCCTCCAACCATTCTCTCCACCACCTCCTTCCCGCACAAACCCCAGCATCGCCATGCTTCTGCCACTCCTTACCCCATACACCCGCTGTTGTGACTCTCCGTTGCACCTAAAAAAAAGATCCACCTTGATAGTTCTGCAATCCTAATGTCTACCCGTGCCGTCACCCACCGCTCTTGCAGTGACGAACGAGTGGACTCGCCCCGTGCAGGCGGGGCACGGCGACCAAGCAGGCACTCACATCACAGCGGAGGAGGCAGGCGGGCAGGGAGAGAGTGGTGGTGGGGGGACAGGAGAGGGGGAGGGAGGGGAAGGGCTTAGGGGAGGCGAGGAGGAGTGGGAGGGCGGGGCGCGGCCGTGTGCGCGGGCGTTCCATGCAGCTGCTGCCATCGAGGGCGGCAACATGTTTGTCTTCGGTGGTCGCTCAGGCAAGAAGAGGTGCGCTCTCACCACCTCTGGATGCGCTTTGCAGTGTGGCACCTGTTTGTGATTCATAGGGGATGGTGTGGTGGGGTGAGAGTAGGGGAGGGTGAGCAATGGCAAAGGGAGGTGGTTGCATTGGCACAGCGCACATAGCGGTCGTGGTGAGAGCATGATGAGAGAGGGCCAACAGTGTTTCATGCTGCAACCCTGCAATACTGTGCCGCACTCATTGTGCCTACCGTAAAACGTGCCCTTTGTCTCATAATCCCCCTGTGTAACGCCCTCTGCTCGTGCAGGCTCGGTGACTTCTGGATGCTAGACACAGGTGCGTGCTCTCCCTGCACATGCGCCCCCATGTCGTTCCCTCCTCCTCCGTCGTCACTGCCCTCACTGCTTCTGCCACTGCCTGCATCTGCTCCTCCATCATGCATGCCGCTGCATCACACCCTCCTTCCTTCCCATCCACGCACACGTTCCTGCCACTCCTCCTCTCACACCACCTTGTGCTGCACTCGTCCCCCCACCCACCTGTCCTCCCACCCCCCTGCCCATCAGACACATGGCAGTGGGCGCAGCTGCCGTGTGGCGGCACCCCTCCCTGCGCGCGTGACTTTGCATCGCTCGTGGCCTTTGGCTCCTCGCGCCTCATTCTGTACGCTCCATTCGTCTTCCCCCTCTTCTTCCCTCCCCTCGTCCTCGCCCCCCCCGTCTCCCCACACCCCGCCCATCCCATATATATTACCTCCCTCTTTCGTCGCACCTCTTCTCTGCTTGCTCCTCCCCTCTCCCACCTCACCTTTCTCAACTAGCTGCCCACAAGATTCGGAACAAACATCGTCCTCTTATGTTCATTGCCCCCGCTTCCCTCCCTCTCATTCGCCCTATCATGTGCTCCCCTCATCCTCCCTCTGTCCGCCCGTCAATGCCGTGCGCCCTGTCTGGCTGGCTGTCCTGAGTGCAGCCTCGGGGGGTGGGATGGAGCGCGCTTCCTCAACGACACCTACATCCTCGACACCAGTGCGCGCTCCCACCCACCGCGCATGCGCCCCATGCACCACCACCTTCTCACCTCTTTCTCCCACCTCCCCGCCTCCTCTCCCTGCCCCCTCATGCTCGTCCTCCTCTCCCTGCCCCCTCATGCTCGTCCTCCTCTCCCTGCCCCCTCATGCTCGTCCTCCTCTCCCTGCCCCCTCATGCTCGTCCTCCTCTCCCTGCCCCCTCATGCTCGTCTTCCTCGCCGTACATGTGAAGCTCTCCCCCATGCACATGCTCTCCCCTTCACCTCCCCCCTTCCCCCTTTACCTCCCCCCCTCCCCCTTCACCTCCCCCCCTCCCCCTTCACCTCCCCCCCTCCCCCTTCACCTCCCCCCCTCCCCCTTCACTTCCCCCCCTCCCCCTTCACCCCCCCTCCGCGCTCCCTGTCGCCCCCTCCCCCCCTCCTCTTCCTTGCTTCCCACCTCCTTTCCCTCTCCCCCCCCCCCACGGCATGCAGTGTCGCTGGAGTGGCAGCAGGTGCTGGTGCCGCTGCCGGCCAGTCTGCCCCCGCCGCGCTGTGGCCACACGGCGTCCGTCTTCAACAACCGCCTCCTCATCTTCGCCGGCCGCGGTCAGCACTGGGGGGAGCGATGGGGCGGGGGAAGGGGTGGGGGAAAGGGGTTGAGAGGGGTGGGGTGAGGAGTGGGGCGAGGGGTTGGGGAGGGGTGGGGGGAGTAGAGAGGTGAAGGGTGGGGTGAGGGGAGAGGGTAGGGCAAGCACATCTGGGATGGATGAGTGAGTGCTGTGGGTTCCGAAGGGTTGTGACAGGTGGGTGGTTGGGCCAGCATGTGGCAGTGCGCGGAAACTGGCTGCTTTGTTGTTGGTGCAACCCATCTGCGTCCATGCGTGCGTGTTTCTTGTGCAATGTGGTGTGTCGGCATGTCCCTGTTTGTGTGTGGCTGTGTGTGGGTGTGGGTGTGTGTGTGTGGGGCGTGGAGAGGGCGGGAGGGAGGGGGTGGGGGGCGCGCATGTGAGTGCAATGGAGAGCAGGCACAGGAGGGTCGATGCTGAATGACTTATGGACGCTCAAAGGAATCGACGCACCCATCGCTCCTCAACCACAGATGCCAGGTCAGCACACACCCGCTGTGCGTCCCTGCTCTCATGTCTCCTGCTCACCTTCTCTATGCCCCTCCCCCATTCATCATCATCCTGTCCCCAACCCATCCTCGTTCTCCTCGCACTACTTTCCCTGCCATGCATCATCCCAAGAATCTCATGCGCTTCTATCCCATCTGTCTCACCCTGCCGTGTGTCGTGCCTGCAGGCACGGACGCCATCCAGGGCCACTGGACGCAGCTGAAGCTTCCCGGCAACGTCCCCACTCCCAGATGTGGCCACAGCGGCACACTCACTCGCACTCAGGTGCACTCCCATTCACACACACACACACACACACACACACACACACCAACACACACACACACACACACACACCCACACACACACACACACACACACACACACACACACACACAAACAAATAGTCATGATGGCATGGTTCATGTTGACCCCCACCTCCCACGCGCCTCCCATCTCTCCATGTGCGTCGTTCTGCCCTCCCCATGCGCCATGCAGATGCTGGTGTTTGGCGGTCACTGCCAGGCGGGCTGGCTCACGCGCACTGACACCTATGCCAATGACATCGCGTACATTGACAGAGGTGCGCTCCATGCGTGCCTGTCAAACCATGCACGCCTGTCAAACCATGCGTGCCTATCAAACCATGCGTGCCTGTCAAACCATGCACGCCTTGATAGAACTGGAGCTGAACTGATTGATTGATAAAGAAGGCACCAGGCCTTAAGTACAAACAAGGTTGGGTTGAGCAAAGCTAGGGAAAGGATGGGATGGGAATCCTAGCAAATCTCCAATTGGTGAGTTGGCAGATTTGCAGGATTACGAGGGAATCCCAACCAGATAGGGTTGGGATTACAAATCTACACCCAACCTACAAAGTAACCTAATCGATATAGAATATAGTACAAAGTGTTGGAAGCCTATTTCTAACACGCCTGTCAAACCATGCGTGCCTGTCAAACCATGCGTGCCTGTCAAACCATGCGTGCCTGTCAAACCATGCGTGCCTGTCAAACCATGCGTGCCTGTCAAACCATGCGTGCCTGTCAAACCATGCACGCCTGTCAAACCATGCGTGCCTGTCAAACCCCTAGGCTGACAACATATCAGTCACTTGGAGGCCCAACACCCATGGACGAGAGGAGGCGGTAATAGTCTTGGCGAACAAGGGACTTGGTAAACAAGTCAGCAAGGTTGCAGTCGGAGGCAATGTGTTCAGCCTTCAGCTGCTCGCGCTGCACCAGCTCACGAAGAAAGTAGTGACGGACCTCAATGTGCTTGGTGCGGCCGTGGAAGATGGAGTCCTTGGTGAGATGAATGGTGCTCTCGTTGTCACACCAAAGCGTTGGGGCTGGTTGAGGATACCCAAGCTCTGCCAGCAAGAAGGAGAGCCAACGGGTCTCCTGGGCGGCCATGGTCCCGGCATACAGCTCTGCCTCACAGGTCGATAGTGAGACTGAGGACGATCGAGTGGAGCGCCAACTCACAACCCCGCTGCCAAGGGTAAAGCAATACCCCTGAGAAGAGCGCCGATCACTCTGGTCATCAGCGTATGAGGAGTCACTGTACCCCTCAAGGCGAACAGGAGAAGAGCCGCCAAGAGTGAGCACATAATCCAGTGTGCCTTTGAGATAGCGAAGGACCCGCTTGGCGGCAGACCAGTGGAGCCGAGTGAAGCGGCCAGGCGCAACGTAGCGAGACAGTACACTGACTGGGTAGGCCAAGTCTGGCCGAGTGCACATCATCGCGTACATGAGGGATCCAACGAGCTCGGGGTATGGCTTGTCACAAGGCTCAGGTGAGGGAACAGAGGGTGCAGTGAGCAGGTGCTGCAGAGAGAGTGGGGTAGACATTGGTGTTGCGTCCTGCATCTTAAACCGCGTCAGGACGTTGTTGATGGTGCGGGCCGTGCGATCACGTGTGATTTCCATGCCCAAATAGTTCGTCAGCTTCCCAAGATCCTTCATGGCCAGCTTCTCACCAAGTGCGGTTTTGACTGCAGTCAACTCAGCCTGATCCTTGGTGACAAGGATCATGTCATCGACATAAACTAGGATGAAGAAGTTGGATGGGGTTGCTCGGATGAAGAGGCTGGGGTCAGAGGCGGAGGGGTGAAAGTCGAGAGACCCTAAGGTGCTCTTGAGCTTGTTGTGCCATTCCCGGGGTGCTTGCTTGAGGCCATACACTGGCCGATTCAGCTTCCATACAGTGTCTGGTGGAAATGGGGCTGGAAATCCTTCGGGCCGCTCCATATAGATGTCTTCTCGAAGGACCCCTTGAAGAAACGCAGAAGACACATCCATGCTCTCAACCTCCATGTCATCTCGAGCAGCAACATCGAGAAGGGTGCGTAGTGTGGGAGGTTTGGCGGTGGGAGAGAAAGTTGCGAAGAAGTCAAGCCCTTCTTTTTGGGTACATCCCTTGGCACAGTACCGGGCTTTGAAGACAGGAAATTCGCCTGGAAGTTGCTTGACCCGGAAAACCCATTTGCCCTTCACGATGTTGACGCCAGAGGGAGGAGAGACATCTGTAAAAGTTCCTGTGTGAATGAAGGCCTCACATTCTGCGATAATGGCCCTTAGCCACTGAGCGGCGTGAGGACCAGAAACTGCTTCAGCATAGGTGAGAGGTGTGGGGATGGAGGGGTTGTCCGAGAAGTTGAGGGTGGGAGAGTCTGCGATATCTGGAAAGAGGGAGCAGAGCGCGTGTATGGCTGAGTCGATGTCAATCAACTCCTCATGTCTGTCCTCAAGAAGGGAGGGCATGAGCGAATAATCACCCCCGACAGGAAGAGGATTGAGAGACACGAATGGAAAGGGAAAGAGGCTTGGGAGTTTTGTGCGAGCGGGTGCGACCAGCGATGGGGGAGGGAGGCGGAGCTGGAGGAGGAGAAGCAGTAGGTGTAGTGGCAGCATTAGGAACAGCAGCTGGATCAGGAGCAGGAGCAGCAGCAGGAGGACGGCGTTTGTAGGTTTTGAGAGGAATGGGCTCGGGGGCGGGAAGGAGCGGGGGAGATTGCGTGGTGCTGGATGGGGAAGCGGGTGACGGGGGGTCGGAAACTGTGGAGGGAGCGGGAAGAGGAGGAGATGGAGTGGTGGCAGGAGGAAGGCTGTCAAAGTCAGCCCAAGTAAGAGAAAGAGGCGGAGGAGAAGGGGAAACTTTGGAGGAGGGGTAGAATGGGTGGGATTCATCGAAGAAAACATCGCGGCTGCGATAGAGTTTGTTGGTGGTAGGATGGAGGAAGAGGTAGTCTGGCGAGTCCGAGTTGTGCCCGAGGTACACGCACGTGATTGTTTTCGGAGCAAGCTTGCCGCCAGCTGCACGACAGGCTTGGGAGTTGAGGAGGACATAGGAAGTGTACCCCCATACACGAAGAGGGCGGACGGACGGCTTTTGACCCGTCCACAGCTCTGCGGGGGTGGTGTGGGTGTGGTGAGGATGAGGATGGAGATTGTGGAGGGCGGCAGCATGGAGCATGGCGTATCCCCAAAGAGAGGGAGGGGCGGAAGCATGAGTGAGGAGGCAGCGAGCACTTTGCACCAAGATGCGGTTTCGGCTTTCAGCAACACCGTTCTGTTGAGGGCTGTCTGGGAGAGTGAAGGTCTGACGAATACCCTCAGTAGAGCAGAAAGCTTTGAGAGTGTTGTTGCGGAATTCACCGCCACCGTCAGAGTGAAGAAACTTGATTTTGGTTTTGAAGTGTGAATGAGCCTGCCGGGCCCATTCCATGATGATGGCTGGGGCTTCAGACTTGGCGGTGAGAAGGTGAACGGACACATAGCGGGAATAGTCATCAATGATGACAAGGAAGTAGAAGTGTCCGCCACGGGAACGAACAGGAGCTGGACCCCAAAGGTCCATGTGTACGCGATCGAGAGGTGCGGTAGAGATGGACTCAGTGGGAGGATGGGGCTGTTCCCGAAGCTTGCTTTGTGCACAGTCAAGGCAAGCCGGTCCAGAAAGAGAGGGGGGTTGTGGAAGTGAGGCGGGCAGCCCGTGAAGGAGTTGTTTGGTGGCAAGGTCTGAAAGTGCGCGGAAGTTGATGTGGCCAAGGCGGTTATGAAATAGCATAGTCTTGTCAGTGAGGAGGCGGCAGTGACATGAGGGGGAGTCTGAGGATGGAAGCGGAAGGTTGGTGAGGGAGCATGTTTGAACGGGAGGTACAACTAGTGTGTACAGGTTGTTGGAGTTGAGGGTGAAGCGGGCAAGATGGAGTCCGGTTTTGGCGTCAAACATGTCACAGTAGTCAACATCATTGGGAAAGATGGTGATCACGCCTGCATGTTGGATTTCACGCTGTGCAAGAAGGTTGTAGCGGAGGGCTGGGGCACAGATGCCAGTGACTGTGCCGGATGGGAAAGCTGGACAGAGAACTGTAGAGGACCCATGGCATTGGATGGAGAAGCTAGAATCGGCTCCAAGAAGTGAGGTGGGAGCCTGGTAGGGAACGAATGCGGTTTGGTCTTTAAGCACTGTGTGGGTGCCACCACTGTCTAGTATGAACTCGATCCCCTGGGTGGTTGAAACACCGATGTACTGCGACCCCTTCTCATTAATAAGACCAGCACCAGAGAACAACAGATTAAGGCGAACATCGGATGGGGCGCTAGCAAATGCCTGAGCAGGTTCCTCCACTGCCTCGACCTGGTTCACGCGACGGGGTGGTGCCCAGTTGGGAGGGCGCTTGTCCTTGGAGACACCATGGACGTCATACCACTCGTCATCTCGCTTCTTGAAGCAAGTTGCCTCAGGGTGGTTGGTGCCGCTGCATTTCTGCCCCGCACGTGGACCCTTCCTAATGATGTAGGGGCATGGAGGAAAGGAGTTGCGCCTCTGGCCCTGCTGGGAGCGAAATGGGATACCAGGGGAGTAGCGCACAGCATTGACGGACGCTTGGGCTGCAAGGTTTTTTTCAGCAGAGAGAAGGGCCGATGCGACTTTCTCGAAAGTGAGTTCCTTGGTGGGGAGCTGCTTGAGCATGGAACTGGTGACGTTGTAGGCCGGGGTAAGTCCTACGAGAAGCCCAGCTGCAGGTGCCTGTTCGGGGAAGGTGATCCCAATGTCCTTGAGCTCCTCATGGATGTTGCGGATTTCAGAGATGTAGTCCGCCATGCTCGGGCATTCCTCAAGGCGGATTTGGAACATGCGAGGAATGAGGATTGCAACTCCTACTGCCGTTTTGTCATGAAAGCGGTCCTGGAGGTATTTCCAAATGTCATGCGCAGAGCGGAAGGTGCGGTAAGACTTGACAAGCTCAACTGTGGTAGTGGTGATGAAAACCCTAATGACTGCCGCATCCGCCTGCTCCCACATACTGAAGTCAGTTTCATACTTGGTGGTCTTAGCATCGAAAGCACTCTTGGCTGTGGCAGTGGCGCCTTCGCCGAGAGGATCGGGAGGGAGAGGCATCTTCCCCTTGCCACGGTTGAGGAGGATGTCCTTGAGGCAAATCCCCTTGAGCTTCGAGCTAAGGAGGTGCTTCTCCACTCCATAGCACCACTCCCCGAAGTTGGTGCTCGTGCCGTTGGGAGCGAGGTTAAGGATGATGAGGTTTCCGACGAGGGTGGAAGTAGAAGTCGCCATTTCGCGCGGAGCGCAGCGCTAAAGTCTCCGATACGTAGCGGAGCGAAGCGCGGAGCGCGGCGATTTTGAAAGTTAAGGAAGTCCGAAACGCGATTTCGGTAATACAAAGCCCGCATTCTGATCTGCTACACTGCTTCGCCGATGCCCCCTGTTCTGCTTCGCCGGTGCCCCTTTTCCGCTTCTCTGCTGCGCCGTTGACCTGTTCTGCTGCGCTGCTGACCTGTTCTGCTGCGCCGCTGACCTGTTCTGCTGCGCCGCTGAACCTGTTCCGCTGCGCCGCTGAACCTGTTCCGCTGCGCCGCTGAACCTGTTCCGCTGCGCCGCTGGACCTGTTCCGCTGCGCCGCTGGACCTGTTCCGCTGCGCCGCTGAAAACCTGTTCTGCTGCGCCGATGAAAACCTGTTCTGCTGCGCCGATGAAAACCTGTTCTGCTGCGCCGATGAAAACCTGTTCGAAGTTAAGAAATGGCGAAATTTGCCACGGAGATTAAAAAACCAGAAGCTTACGATGAAGGAAGTTAAAGGCGAAAAATGTCGCCGTTGAAAACCGGTGCGTAATGAAAGAAGCCGAATGCGCGTTTGTCCGGAGCGACGAAGTGAAGTTGAAAAACGCTAAGCGTAGGAGCCGGGAGCCGAAATAGGCATAGCCTAGAAGAAGAGAACCATCGCGACGCCAAGGATCGGATTCCGCGTGAGCGGGGTTTACTAGCTCTGATACCATGATAGAACTGGAGCTGAACTGATTGATTGATAAAGAAGGCACTAGGCCTTAAGTACAAACAAGGTTGGGTTGAGCAAAGCTAGGGAAAGGATGGGATGGGAATCCTAGCAAATCTCCAATTGGTGAGTTGGCAGATTTGCAGGATTACGAGGGAATCCCAACCAGATAGGGTTGGGATTACAAATCTACACCCAACCTACAAAGTAACCTAATCGATATAGAATATAGTACAAAGTGTTGGAAGCCTATTTCTAACACGCCTGTCAAACCATGCGTGCCTGTCAAACCATGCGTGCCTGTCAAACCATGCGTGCCTGTCAAACCATGCGTGCCTGTCAAACCATGCGTGCCTGTCAAACCATGCGTGCCTGTCAAACCATGCGTGCCTGTCAAACCATGCGTGCCTGTCAAACCATGCGTGCCTGTCAAACCATGCACGCCTGTCAAACCATGCACGCCTGTCAAACCATGCGTGCCTGTCAAACCATGCGTGCCTGTCAAACCATGCGTGCCTGTCAAACCATGCGTGCCTGTCAAACCATGCGTGCCTGTCAAACCATGCATGCCTCTCAAACCATGCGTGCCTGTTTGGGCATCGCATCCTGTTTATTCCCAATGCAAGCCCTAGTGTGCTCTCCCTCTGGTTCATCGTTGCGTCCTGTTGCCCTTCCACCACACACCTTGTGCCTCACCTGCTGTTCTTCTCATGCCCCTCACCACTGCCTGCGCCCTTTTGCGCTCCGCCCATTGTCACTGCTGCCTGTCAAGTCATTGGCCCTGTCACCTCCCACCTCTCTTCTCTCCCTTTCTTCTTAACACGTTTCATCTCCCATTCTCAACGGCATCGCTCGTCCTCCCCCACCTCTCCCCCATCTTCCTCCGCCCCCCCCCACCAGCCACGGTGCACTGGAAGCAGCTGTCCACAGCAGGCGGCCCCCCACCGCCAAGGGCGTATCACACCGTCACAGCTGTCGGCTCGCGATTTGTGTGTGTGGGCGGGTTTGACGGCAAGACCACGTTCGAGGATGTGTGGTGGCTCGTGCCTGCAGGTGGGTGTGTGGGCAGACCTGTTCACATGCATGCTCTCGTCTGTGTGGCTCATGCAAGGAGTTTCACAAGCCATGCTTGCTAAGCGCTAATCTGACGTGAAGCATGGGGCATGTCGTCCGAAAGGAAAGTCATGGACGGTGGATGCACGCAGAGGGGCCGCACGCCATGCCGCTGTGCTCTGCGCCTTCCACACGCGTACTGGCAGTAATATGCCCTGCAGCAAACCCATCGTCCGGCACCCCATGCTGCTCCACATCCCACACTCCCGCCTAACTTCATCCCTTCTTTCTTCCACCCTTTCCCCATCCCGCACCCGCCACTGCCCCTTCTCAGACGACCCCTGGGCGGTGAGGGACGAGCAGCTGTGCTCCAAGCGCGTGGCACTGGAAGCGGCCATCCGCCAGGCATCCGCCGTGGCAGGCGGCATGGGCTCGCCCTCGCCCGCCCCATCCACCGCCCCCTCCGCCGTGCCCGCACCCACGTTCGGCCTGCTGCCGTCGTCCGCAGCAGCAGCGGCGTCGGCGGCGCGGCGGTTCAACGACAGCCTGGTGGCGCAGATCCTGGCGCCCGCTGCCTCCGCTGCTGCCGCCGCCGCCACCGTGGTGGCGGACGCTGCTGGCGCTGTGGGCGCTGAACTCAACAAGGCCGCGGAGGAGGTGCGCCATGGGGGAGGGGGGTTCATGGCGGGCGGGTTGAAGGGCTGTGCATAAACGGGTGTAGGTGGATCATGGAGGGGGGAAGGCAGGGAGGGGAGGGACGGGAGGGATGGAGGAGGGAGGGAAGGGATGGGATATGGGAGGCAGGGGAGCGTAGGGAGGGAGGGAGGTGATCACCCTTTTGTTCCTGAGTTGTAGTCAGCTTGGTTGAATCATCACCCCTGTGTGCAACTCGATGCCTGGCCTCCCTCCCCCGCTCACCTGTGGCCTCTCGCCTTCCCACCCGTGTTTCTCGCCTGGCAGCGGGAGCTACTGCACCAGCTGGCGGATCTGCATCGCAGGGCGGGCCTCAAGCCGCCCTCCCTCGCCTCCTCCGCCGCACCCCACCCGCCCACCTCCTCCCTGCCCGTGCTCCCCCTGGCGGGCCCGGCCGTGGACGATGCTGCCCTGGTGGACCTGGGCAGGCGCGTCGTGGCGCTGGCGGGGCAAGGGCGGGGTGGGGAGAGGAAGGGCGGTGTGGGAGGGAGTGATGGTGGGGAAGGCATGCATGGGCCTGGTACAGGGGGACTGGTGGGGGTGGGTGGGGATGATGTGACAGGACGGGTAGTGGCGGGAGAGAGCGAGGGGGCAAGGAAGCAAGGAGGCGAGGAGAATGTGGGGAGAGCAGGAGGAGCGGGTGGAGGGGAGGCAGAGGGCACAGGGCGTGCAGGCAGCAGTGCATCAGTGGGCAGCAGCAAGGTGAGTGCCGTGGGAGCCATGCTGTCACTCTCACCCACCTCTCATGCTGCACTGCCCACACACCCTCAACTCCCCTAGCAATGGGCAGGACGCTGCCAGTTATCATTTACCTGCTCCTCCCCCTCTCCCTCACTGACTCCTTCGTTTGTCCAATGGTTCGTCTCTGTCCATCCCTCCCTTCCTCTCGCCTCCTTCTCTTCCTTCCCCTTTCTTGCTCGTTCCTTCTTCCCGTCTCAGTCAGTGTGTCTCCAAGGAGAATCAAAATTTAGTGGTGGGAGACAGAGCGTGGCGCAGTCTTGGTCTCTATATTTCCATCCATGTATCTCGCCTGCTCCATCTCCCTTCCCCCCCTGTGTGGTGCAGGCAGCAGCGGTGGAGGCGGCGAGGGCACATCTGGTGCGGAGTGAGGTGGCAGCGCTGCGCATGCGCGACATTGCTGCCATGCTCGCTGACTACCACCGCATCGTTGCCCTCGCTCACCGGTGAGACGCACATGGCTGGGAGGGGCACCGGTGGGAGGGACACAGGTGGGAGGCAGGCCGGTGAGAGCATGTGATTTGTCACAGGTCGGAGGCACGGGGGCCTCGATCGAGGTGCAGGGTCTAGTACGTGAGTGCAGCATGAGTCTCGCCTCATTCTCGTTATTCACACTCACCGCATGTCCGTGCCCCCATGTGCTGTGGTGACAGGCATGAGGCCATGGACACACACAAGTGCCGGCCACCAGTGCACGCGCTCTACCACCTGCGATCCGCCAACCAGGTGACCCACTCTTTCCCATGTTGCTCTAACGCCCTTCCTCGTGCCACAGGCGATGTCATGCGTCGACTAATCAGCGACTCTTTCTGCTTCTGTATCCTGTCCCACTGCATGCCCTTCACCTAACCCCACTCCACCTCCCCACATTACCCCATGGATGCCTTGCCATGTGGGGGAGAGCAGCTTCGGCTGTCGGACGTGCCTCGCCTGCAGGCGGCCTATGCACAGCTGCTGCACGCCAATCGCACTCTCTCCCACGCCACCACCTGATGCCGCTCACCTCACTGCTGCCATGGCCTACAGTACTACAACCTGCACCTTGTGGCCTACCCTGTGCCCTGCTTCACCTGCCTGCCCCTTGCAACCTGCACGCACAGCTACCACACTCTAAGAACCCTATTCACATCCTATGTCACCATATGCAACACGCCTTGTTAGAGTAGGGTGGTAGGGATGATTCAACTATCGAGAAGGTTTGGTACAAAAGTGAAACCTAAGGGGTTGTACCCCACAGTGAGTGCCCCACTAAAGCCCACCTAAACTATAACATATAAACATATGTTTGACACACCCCCATAGGCAAAGTGGGGGAGAGCAAGGGGTCACAAGACCAGTCAAGAAGGGCAAAGCAAGCTCAGGGTGGATCACAACGTCACCACACTCACTGAGCACAAGCAAAGGGCCACAAGGCCAGTTCACATGCAGAGGCATATATGTAACACAAACATCACAGTGATCTCTACCTAGCAAAGCAAGCATGCAGGTATATATATATAGATCACAGTACAAGCAAGGCCTACAGCAAGTGAGGAAAAGTGGGCACAAGCCCTAGCATAGTGCAGAAACGCTGATGATCACCAGCCTGAAGTGCCTTTGTGAATATATCAGCAGTGTTGGCCCGAGTGGCCACGTAACGCAGACGAAGCTGACCACGCTGCTGCAACTCTCGAGCCAGAAAGTAACGCAGAGCGATGTGCTTCGTTCTGTGCTCCAGTCTGTGCTCCTCACACAAGGCAATGGTAGCCTTGTTGTCGACGTACAGCACTGGAGGAGAACGAGGCCGCTCTCCCAAGTCAGTCAGTAGGTAGGTGAGCCAGCGTAACTCCTGTGCAGCCATGGCTGTGGCGTAGATCTCAGCCTCACAACTGGAGCTGAGAACTGAAGACGAGCGTGTAGAACGCCACGAAACTGAACCAGAGCCAAGGCTGAAGGTGTAACCCTGTGACGACCGCTGAGTAGCCTGGTCGTCAACCCAAGAAGCGTCTGAGTGCCCAGTGAGAACAACTGAGCTCCTCCCTCCAAGCACGAGCCCCATGCCTGATGTACTGCACAAGTAGCGCAGTACCCTCTTAGCAGCATCCATGTGCACCTTTCGGTGCCGACCAGGAGCCACGTAGCGAGCCAGAAGGCCAAGAGGGTACGCAAGGTCAGGACGAGTGCAGGTCATCAGGTACATGAGGCAGCCCACTAGCTCTGGGTAAGGACCACTCGGCTCTACGGACTCGTCCGAAGGTGGAGCTGAGAGCGAGTGACCTGTAGCCAGAAGAGTGGCCTGTGCCGAGGACCAGGTGAAGCCGAGGCATTGAAGGACCTGCTGCACCATGTGTGACTGAGTCAGTGTGATGGTGCGGCGTGCTCTGTCCCGGGTGATCCGCAAGCCAAGATAGCTTGTCAGCTCACCCAGGTCGGTGCACGTGTGTCTCTTCTGCAGCTCCGACTTCACGTGGGCGAGAGCCTCAGTGTCAGCAGTGGCAAAGACCAAGTCGTCGACGTACACGAGGATGTAGAACGGCGGCAGCGAAGTGTCGGTGCGTAGAAACAGCGACGGGTCAGCAGTCGACGGAGCAAACCCAAGAGCCGCAAGTGTCGTCCTCAGTGTGTCGTGCCACTCACGTGGCGCCTGGCGGAGACCGTAGACCGGCCGCCTGAGGCTCCACTGGGTACCAGGAGGGAACGACCCAGTGAAGCCAGGTGGGCGGCGCAGCCTGATCTCCTCGTGCAGGCTGCCCTGTAAGAAGGCTGTGCTGAAGTCAAGAGAGTGAAGCTCGTAGTCGCGCTGAGCGGCAACGTGCAGCAGCACCCGAAGAGTGGTCATCTTCGGGGTGGGAGAGAACGTATGGAAGAAGTCTACTCCCTCTCGCTGACTGAAACCTCGTGCAACGTAACGCGCCTTGAAGGCAGGCGGAGAACCTGGCGGCCGCTTCACCCTGAAAATCCACATGCCACTGACGATGTTCGCCCCAGGTGGGGGAACCTCGTCGACGTAGGTGCCTGTGGACTTCCAGGATGCCATCTCTGCGTCCATGGCTGTCTGCCACTGAGAGGAGTACTCACCCGCGATCGCCTCAGCGTAAGAGCGCGGGGTCGGGATGTCTGGAGCATCCGGGTCTCCCTCAGGGGCAAGCAGCATGGACACGAGATGAGGCGCAGCGGCTGCAAGACACTCAAGGTCCTCCTGCCTGTCCTCAAGGACGTCCGTGCCAAGAGCACACTCACCCCCGACGGACGGAGGACAGACAGACTCAGACTCAGCAACAAGACTAGCGGCGTAGTCTAGACGACAGGCAGCAGCAAAGTCAACAAGCTCAGCAACTAAGGCAGACGTAGCAGCAGACTCAAACGACGGGTCAGTGACAACAGTGGCTAGCAGACGCGTGACAGTAGGGTGCTCAGCACGAAACCGGTCAAACTCGGGGTCCGCAACGACAGGCAGAGAAGACGCAGGAGGAGACGGCAGAGGAACACGCTGCCGAGGAGAGGAAGGACGACGGACTACGAGGCGGGTGTCGGGGACAGCCGGCAGACGCGGACGAGGAACACGACGACCGGAACGACCAGAACAGACAGGCGAGACAGGACGCGACGCAGGCTCACGACGCTCAGTAAGAATCCCTAGCTGCTCAGTGTAAGGAGAAGGAGCAGGCAGCGGTGAACCAGGCTGCAACGGAAGACCAGTAGACGAAGGGAGACTAAGAACCTGGCGAAGCACAGAGTCAGGCGGTGGCTGAGACGACGGAGACGGTGGAGCGAAGAACAGGCGCGGCTGTGCAGTGACACCAGCACCAGCAGCTCCAGTACCCCCAGCAGCTCCAGCACCTCCAGCAGCTCCAGAACCTCCAGTGCCAGCACCCTCAGCAGCTCCAGAACCTCCAGCTCCAGCGCCACCAGCGTCAGTACCTCCAGCAGCTACAGAACCTCCAGCGCCAGCACCCTCAGCAGCTCCAGAACCTCCAGCTCCAGGGCCACCTGCGCCAGCACCTCCAGCAGCTCCAAAACCCTTAGCGCCAGCTCCTCCAGGACCAGCTCCAGAACCGGCACCTCCAGTCACTGGGTCTCCAGCCTCAGTGCCTCCAGCAGCAGCACCCTCAGACTCAGCACCTCCAGTCCCAGCAGCTCCAATACCTCCAGTACGAGCACCTCCGGGACCAGCACCACTCCCAGCTCCAGTGACGACAGCAGAAGTACCTCCAGGGGCAGAGCCCCGAGCTCCAGAAGCGCGACCCTGACGGCGACCGTACCAGTCGTGCAGCTGCTGCGAGGTGAGAGGCACACGCGGACGAAGGCGGCTACTCCAAGGAAGCCGCGCAACAGCAGACTCAGAACCCTTAGCGCCAGCACCCTCAGCAGCTCCAGAACCTCCAGCTCCAGCGCCACCAGCGCCAGTACCTCCAGCAGCTCCCAAACCTCCAGCGCCAGCACCCTCAGCAGCTCCAGAACCTCCAGCGCCAGCGCCATCAGCGCCAGCACCTCCAGTAGCTCCAGAACCTCCAGCTCCAGCACCCTCAGCAGCTCCAGACCCTCCAGTAGAAACAAATCTAGTGGTAGAGTCACCAGCGCCAGCGCCTCCCGTAGCAGGGCCCCTAGCTCCAGCAGCACGACCCTGACGGCCAGCGTACCACTCAAACAGCTGCTGTGGGGAGAGAGGGAGTCGAAGACGAGAGTGCAGCGGCGAGGCACCAGCGGAGCGACTACCGAGACGGCCGCTCCCGGGAGACTGCTCACCAGACGCCTCAGCGCCCCCAGGCTCAGCACCCCCAGACTCCTCACACCCAGGCTCAGCTTCTCCAGTCTCCGCACCCCTAGGCTCCGCACCCCCAGGCTCAGCACCCCCAGGCTCAGCACCCCCAGGCTCCGCACCCCCAGGCTCAGCACCCCCAGCAGCAGCACCACCCTCAGCAGCACCTGAGTCACCAGTGACCTCAAGCTGAGGAGGAGGGTCTACCTGAGACACACCTGAAGGAGCAGGACCGGGAGCGGGGAGGGGGTCTACCTGGGGAGCACCTGGAGCGAGGAAGAGCGGCGGGGGGGGGGAGAGGGGCAGTGCGGTAGGGGAAGAGACGGTAAAAGGGAACCGACTCGTCGAACGTGACGTCCTGAGAGGGGAAGACACGGCGCGAGGTGGGGTGGTAAAACTGCCAACCAGGCGCGTCAGGGACAAAGCCAAGGAAGACACAGGGAACAGCGCGGGCGGAGAGCTTGTCCGCGGTGGTATCGCGGACAAAGGCACGAGCACCCCAGACCCGGAAACGCGACGCATCGCCAACCTTCCCGGTCCACAGCAGTGTGGGCGAGGTCTCCGGCAAGGAGACACGGGGCCAGAGGTTGAGCTGATGCGCGGCGTACCGGACCGCAAACGGCCACAGAAAATGGGGGGCAGCCGCATGGATCATGGAGGTACGAGCGACCTCCATGACTAAGCCAATGCGGCGCTCAGCAACCCCATTCTGCTGCGGAGAGGCCGGAAGCGTGAACGACTGGCGGATGCCGTGCTCCACACAGTAGGCTGCCAAGAGGTCAGAGGAGAACTCACCACCTCTGTCAGAGTGCAGACGCAGGACAGGAAAGTCCGAGTGGAACCGCTCGCGGAGCTGGAGACGAGCAGCGCGGATCCAGGGGATCAAAACATCAGGGACCTCCCCCTTGCTGCGCAAGGGGAAGACCGTGGTGTAACGCGTGTAGTCGTCGACAACCAGCAGGAAGTACCGCTCGCGGCCCTGTCCACGGACGCGGTTTGGGCCCCACACGTCCAGGTGGAGAGTCTGCAAGGGAGCCTCTGTGGGAGGGAACGAGGAGGAGTGAGGAGCGGCGCGCTGCCGCCCCTCGACACAAGGAATGCAGGGCGGCGCAGGCGAGGGAGGGAGGGCAGGCAGAGACTCAGGAAGGCCAGAGACCAGGTAGCGAGAGTGCATGCTACGAAGGCGCTGCACCGAGGGGTGACCAAGGCGGTGGTGCCAAAGGAGGGTCTGGTGCGACAGAGCGCGACACGAGTAGGGGGCCGCTAGCTGACCTGACGCAAACGCAGACGCAGACGCAGCTACCTGAGGGGACACAGTGGTGAGTGTGTACAGACTCGAGCCAGGCTCTCGGGTGAACGTGGCCAGGTGTCGACCAGTCCGGGAACACGTACAGTGTGTCACACGCTGACCTCCAGGGGTGAACTGGTCAACCCACACATCCTGTAGGTCAGCTCCACTCACCAAGTTCGTAGAGAACGAGGGGAGGTGAAGACCTGACAGGGAGCCAGACGGGACCGCCGGACACGGCAGGACCGTGGAGGAGTGCGCAAGTACTGGACCCCCAGAGGGGTCTGCCAGGGAGACTGCAACCGGCCGACGGAGCGGCGTGAGTGTGGTGCTGTCGCGAAAGAAGGAGCGGGAAGCACCTGAGTCAAGTGTGAAGGTGTACACGGCCTCTGCAGGCGCAGTACCAGAGAGAGCAGACTCACCAGCACCTGGAGCAGCAGCCTCACCAGTACCAAGAGCAGGAGACGCACTAGTACCTAGAGCAGCAGCCTCACCAGCACCTAGCGCAGAAGACGCACTAGCACCTAGAGCAGCAGCCTCTATACCTGGGTCAGGCGGGACGCACAGGGAACAGGCACGGTCATCACTAGTAGGCAATGCATACATGGCAGTGAGAATAGCATCATAGTCAAGAGCAAAAATATCTACCCCCTGCCCAAGCAGCTCCAGCCAGGTGGGGAGCTCAGCCTCGTCGCCAAACTCGGTACGCCAGGCGTCGCTCAGACGGGCGAAGCAGCGGGACTGTGTGTGACCAGGCGTCTCGCAAGGCTGACCAGTCCGATCACCTGTGCGAATGACGTACGGGCAGCGAACTGGACTCAAAAACCCTCTACTCTGAGCGTACCACTCGTGAAGCTGCCGGGACGTAAGTGTCTCTCGCGAACGCCGCTGCAGCTGCTGCTGGCCACTGCCAGACGCTCCCAACGGACCAGCTCCAGGGCTACAGCCACGACGGCTACCGCCACAACCCCAACTACCGTACCACTCACGAAGTTGCTGGGGCGTGAGAGACTCGCGCGGACGGCGCTGGAGCTGCATCGCAGCAGTAGCAGCAGCAGCAGCCTAGCAGCAGTAACAGAAGTAGCGGCAGCAGTAGCAGTAGCAGCGCGGGCAGGCAGGCAGGCAGGCCGACAGGCAGGCAGGCAGGCAGGCAGGCAGGCAGGCAGGCCGGCAGGCAGGCAGGCAGGCGGGCAGGGCAGGCGCGGCAGGCAGGCAGTGCGCTAACAAGGCAGGTGCTCACCAGTGGCGGGAAGAGCAGGCGCTCGCCGGGCGAGCAGGGCCGGCGCTCGGCGGGCGGCTGCACGGGGTCCAGGGGCGGCGGTACGGAGTCCAGGGGCGGCTGCACCAGGGGCGGCTGCTTCAGGGACCAGGGGCGGCTGCTCTGGGTCCTGGGGCGGCTGCTCAAGGGTCCAGGGGCGGCTGCACCAGGGGCGGCTGCTGCAGGGGCCAGGGGCGGCTGCTCAGGGTCCAGGGGCGGCTGCACCAGGGGCGGCTGCTGTAGGAGCCAGGGGCGGCTGCTCTGGGTCCAGGGGCGGCTGCTCGAGGGTCCAGGGGCGGCTGCACCAGGGGCGGCTGCTGCAGGAGCCAGGGGCGGCTGCTCTGGGTCCAGGGGCGGCTGCTCCAGGGGCGACGGTGGGGCAGGGCGGGGCCGCAACAGCGGGTAGAGCTCGGCACGAGGGCCGTAGGGGTGCGCGAGGGCGGGGCCGAGCCGCGCTCTGCCAAAAAGGGGCGGCGCGGCGAGCAGGGAAGGGCGGCTCGCGGGCCCTACAGGTGCGCGACGGGCCAGGCGGGGTCGCGCGCTGCCAGCAGGGCAGCGCGACTGGCTCCCGTGGGCGGCGCGAAGGCCCTAAGGCGACGCGACGGGCGGGGCCGGGCCCTAGGGCGGCGTGACGAGAAAAAACGAAGAAAAAACTAAAAATAAACGCGCGTCGCGCGGCCAGCAGGGCGGCGCGACGGGTGGGGCAGCTCGACAGGCAGGGGAAACCCTAAAAAAAAAGAGAGGTAACGGTGGGCCCACTAGGAAATTAGGTCCTAAGACCTAAGTGCTCTTAATACCATGTTAGAGTTGGGTGGTAGGGATGATTCAACTATCGAGAAGGTTTGGTACAAAAGTGAAACCTAAGGGGTTGTACCCCACAGTGAGTGCCCCACTAAAGCCTACCTAAACTATAACATATAAACATATGTTTGACACGCCTGTACTTTGTTTGTGAATACCATCTGGGTATGCTAGGGCAGCACACAGTAACACAAGCGCTTGTCAATGAATGCATGCAGCATCAACCATTGCCAGGTTTTTGAGGTACCGGTACCACACGGGAAAATGTAGCGACATCCAATACAGCAAGGGCCAACTGTTTACCACTCACTCTCATTCGGTTTCATAACAGCGGATCTACCATACCGTAGGTCGTTCGGCATTGCTTGGGTTGGGTTCCTCACATTTTACAAGTGTCAGACCAAGCTTCTACAAGATCTGGGGTTTCATTTTACCCCAAGAACTACTTGCAGGTTCACCTAGAGAGCTCAGGCAGGTTGCCTCTCAAGGTCCCCAATGTTTGAATTTCCTTGAGCTAAAAAAATAAAACAAAGAAATCGCAGGGTGCTGTAACAGGTAGGTTTTGTGCCTGGGTTTGATATTTTTTTGGAATGGATTCAGAATAAGTTAGGGTCTTCAATCCTGGGCATTACCAGGGATATTGACGATGAGCAGTTATCGAGCGGGCTTTTTCACAGGAGATGGTGGTGGAGGAGGTGGAAGCTTCTGCTTCATTCTAGTGCTCTTGAGCGGAGGGGGAGGGGGCGGGCGCCTCCTCTTCGCTCCATCCTTCTTGGAACCACCTGGGGGAGGGTTCTTCTTGGGCTTGCTGCTTTTAGGCGGGGGTGGGTGCTTGCTGGCGTTGCTGTGTGGGGGTGGGGGACTCTTCCTCTTGCCTTTCTTCGGAGGCGGCTTCACCTTCTCCTCACCGGATTTTGGTGCTTTGGGGCTGCTCCCCCCTTGCGCGCTTGAAAGCTTTGGGGGTGGGGGGGGTGGGGGGCGAGGGGGTTTAGGAGGGGGGCGAGGGGGTTTAGGAGGGGGGCGAGGAGGCCTTGGGGGAGGCTTAGGCGGACTGGGTGGGGGCCGAGGAGGAGGGGAGGGCGGTGGCTTTGCTGCTTGTGGTGGCGGTGGGCGCGGGGGTGGGGAAGGGGGCTTCGGGGGAGACGGAGGGGGCTTTGGAGGAGGGGAGGGCTTGGGGGGAGGGCTGGGGGGGCGAGGAGGAGGGGATGGAGGCTTAGGGGGAGGGGATGGGGGCCTGGGGGGAGGGGATGGGGGCTTGGGGGGAGGGGATGGGGGCTTGGGGGGAGGTGACGGCGGTTTAGGGGGAGGGGAAGAGGGCTGAGGTGGAGAGGGTGGGGGCTGAGGGGGAGGAGAGGGGGGTTGACGGGGAGGTGATGGGGGGCTAGGGGGAGGCACAGGTGGTGGGGATGGGGGACGGGGCGGGGGTGAGGGAGGTGGATTGGGGGGAGGTCGGGGGGGAGGATTGGGGGGAGGTCTGGGGGGAGAATTGGGGGGAGGTTTAGGGGGAGGACTGGGAGGAGGTTTAGGGGGCGGATTGGGAGGAGTTCTGGGGGGAGGACTGGGGGGAGGCCTGGGAGGAGGATTGGGCGGGGTAGGGGGGGAGGGAGGGGGGGAGGGTGGTGGAGGCGGGGCGAGTGAGACGAGGGAGTGGACAGTGAAGGCGGGGACGACAGCAGCGGACTGCACAAAGCCAAAGGAGATGGACTCGTTGGGGGCGAGCTGTGTGGCCCACCAGGGCAGCTGGCAGGAGAGCGCGTCCATGTTCCACGCCTGTGAGGGCTCAAAGTCATGGCAGCGCAGGTGGAAGTCGCGCACGGGGAAGGGGCTGCCCGTGTTGGCCACCTGGCACGACCACCGGCTCTGCTGCTCGCCGTACTGCTCCCACCCGCCCGTCACCTCACACGCCACCGTCACCAGCGCTGCTGGGTCCACAGTAGCACCCGATGGGGGTGTGGGAGCGACAGGAGGGGGCGACGGGCAGAAGAAGGAGGATGCGGAACAGAGAGGAGGCGGGGAGGCGGGTGGGCGTGGAGGGGGGGAGGGGGGTGCAGGGGGGAAGGGTGGTGGAGGGGGTGCGGGGGGCAGGGCGCCAGCAGCGAGTCTGGCGAGGAGGCCGACGGCGGGTGCGTTGGCGCAGGCGGATGGCTCTGTGAAGGACGGCAGCACCCGCGAGTCCTGGAACGCATCGCTCTGCCAGCCATGCACGCACGGAAGGGTAGTGGGCAGGCACAAGGCAGGGGGGACACCGAAGGTGACATTGAGTGCGAGGTTGCCAGGAGACAGCAGCAGGCATGTGGCTCTGAGAAACAATCTCGTGTCACTGACTCTGCTCATTGCCCTTGCCACGATGCCAGGCAGCCCAACCTGGCAGTGCCACTGCCCACCTGGGCGCTTGCACGCTGCCCCACGTGGGCTGCACTCACCGCATCGGGCCCGCCCACGATGGCGCCCACGAGCACGTTGGGGTTGGCGGCGTCGCGGTTGAGCCACTCCGCCACGCCGCCCTCACACGTGACCTGCGTGCTGTTCACGTTGAATGACACGATGGACGCCGCGCGGTGGTGCAGTCGCAGGGGGAAGGAGGAGCCGAAGCCGAGCATGAAGGAGAGGCCCAGGGGGTTGTTCCCCAGCAGGTAGTCCACCTGCACCACAGAGGGCGCACAGAGGTTCCGTCTCGTGCTCAAACACTTGCGCTTGCACCATGCCAGCAGTAGCAGTGATGAGACGAGGGAGGTTCACAAACAGTTGCAGCAGTAGCGCATGGGCCGGAGTGGGAGGCGGTGCAAACGGCACAGCTTGACAGGTGCATGTGGCGATCAGCGTGGGAGATGGGAGCCACTGTGGGGCGCCGTGCATGTGTCACCTGCGACTGGGCGAAGGCCAGGATGGCGGGCGGCTTGAACGTCACTCCCTCGCACTGCACTGCCTGCCCACTGCCCGCGAGCGAGTCCGAGTGCAGCGCGAGCAGGAACGCGGCGGCGAGCGCGAGCTGCGCGTTGCTGGCGCGCACGTGCAGCAGCCCCCCGGGCGTGGTGTAGACGGCGCGCAGGGGGTTGGCGGGCATGTGCGCGCACACGAAGAGGTCCGCCATGCCGCGGTACCCCTCCAGCACCGCCATGGTCGCCACGCTGGCCGAGAGCGCCGCGGGCACGCCTTGCAGCATCATCTGCGGGCACGGAGGGGGGAGCAGGTACTTGGTCAGCGCACGCATGGAATGAGGGGGGCAGAAACAGCAGGGAGGGGGAGACACGACGGGAAACGGGGGAAGTGGGGTAGGGAAGCGGCAGGAGTGGAGCGAAGGCCGGGGTGGGCGTGGGAGCGACCTGCGCGATGAGCACTTGCGCGCCGGGCAGCTTGTGCTGCCAGCTCATCTCCAGCTGCAGCTGCTCCGAGCCGCCTATCCACGCGTCGTTGGCCGCCAGGTAGTCCACATACACGGCGTACCCCGTGGCGCGGTGCAGCCACACCGCCGCCCACGCCAGCTCGTCCTGGTAGCTGCTGCCCTCGCCGCTCGTGGAGAAGCGCCTCGCCTGCGGCACCGCGTCGCTGTAGCTGCCGCGATACGTGTCCGCGAACACGAACAGCTGCGCCGGGGGGGGAGAGGGGGGAGGGACGGGGGACAGGGACGGGGAGGCGGACAGGGAGGGGGAGGGGGAGGGGGAGGGGGGGGGGAGGGGGGGGGAGTGGGAGAGGGAGAGGGAGAGGGGGAGGGGAGAGGAAGGTGGAGGGAAGGGGAATGAGAGAGGGAGGGGGAACAAGGTGCGCGTTTCGGAAGAGAGAGCGAGCGTGAAGTGATGGCGGAATCAACGGTGGATTGTGGCGATGCGAGTCGGTGCAGTGCGGCGGCAGCAGCCGTGCGTCACCTGTTCCGCGTGGCCCAGCAGCGTGCTGGCGTAGCTGCCGTCCACGGGCCTCAGCGCCAGCGACGCGGCAGCGAGGGCGGCGGCGGTTTCCGCGGCGAGGTCTGATCCCGGGTGCGAGGCGTTGACGCGGTACGCCGTGCGCGCCGTGCTCATGTCCTCCGGCCGCTGCCAGCACGCGCTCTCCGCCACCGGGTCTCCCACCTGCAGGGGCGCGCGGGTGGGAGGAGGGGGGAGTAGCGGGGTGATGGGGCAGGGAGGCAGTGCAGGTTCATGGCGGGCAGCCCCAGGTAATGCTGCGACCAGGTGCGCGCAAACATGACCAGCAGAGCGTGCCGCTCAGACAACAACGCAGCGCCTTGAAGCCAACCACTGGTAAAATCCTCAGTCGTTGGCGGACCCGCCTCACTCCCCCCCTCCTCTTCCCCCTCCCTCTCTCCCTCTCCTCTCCCCCCCCTCACCTGCGCCCACAGCTCGTTCATCCCCGTGTGCGCCTTCACCAGGTAGTCCGTCGACCACCGCAGCGCGTTGCGCGCCGCCGCCAGCTGCGCGGCGCCGCCGGCCGCCTCGAGGTGGCGGCGGAAGTCGATGAGGCTCCAGGCGAGCATGGTGGTGGCGAAGGCGGCGGGCAGCCCGTACTTGACGTTGCTGCCGCCCTCGTAGTACCCGCCCTCCAGATCCACCTGGGGGCGCGGGGGGGAAAAGAAGAGAGCGGGAGGGGCGGGGGAGAAGGAAAATCTGGTGTGGAAAGGGGTCTGGTGCGCAAGGGGTCTGGTGCGCAAGGGGTCTGGTGCGCAAGGGGTCTGGTGCGCAAGGGGTCTGGTGCTGCGAAGTGGATCAGTCGGCGGGTGTGCGGCGGCAATTCCACGCATGTTGAGGGTGCGACTGATGCTCCCGGCTGCTGGCGTGCGAGAGAGGGTTACACTCGAATGCGGGGCGATCACAGTGCCCCAGCAGCAGAGGGAGCAGCGCGCGCTCTCACCATCTGCGCCGCGCCGTCGCCGAGGCCCGAGTTGTTGCGCCATGCGACGCTCGTGGGCATGCGCGCGCCGGCTCCGCTGATGCGACCCGACCGCTGCGCGTCGAAGAAGAGGATCGACTTCACCAGCGCGTCCGTGTAGTTCAGCGACGCGCCGCCGCCGCCGCCGCCTCTACTGCCGCCGCCGGTGGCAGTCTGGCAGGCGACGAGGTGCAGGTGGGTGAGCAGACACAGGCTTGCGCACGCGACAGCGATCGCTCGCCATCGCACGGCTGGCGTGGGCGCCGTCCCCGGTGGTGGACAGGGCTTGCCCATGGACGACACGAGCAGAGCACCCCCCGTGCGTCACAACAGCTGCATCGCGGATTGCAATCGACGCTGAATAACGAACATGCAGAAGCTGCTTAGTTGCGCATGCATTGCTGATCCTCCCACCTATTTCACATACACGCAGCAGAAGAAAGGCGACCAGGGCAATAAGAACGACCAGCCTGGAGATCTAGCCTGAGGTGTAGGTTGTACCTGCAGACAGTATTTGAGAACTGGACACTAGCAGCCAGACTGTGCACGTGGAGAAATTGAGTCTCTGGTGGTGAATGGATTGACGCTTCTGGCGGGATAGCTCTGCGGTCCGAGAAGCTAGCTGAGATGTCTCCAATCCACTGGCTGTTGTCTGCCAAATTGCGATGACTCGCGGCACTGACATCTGACACAGATCTACTGACGCAATATCCCGGACATAAGCACACACGCAAGGATAGAAAAAAGGCACAGCCTTATACATGAAACAAATAACACCTAGAACAATGTAAAAGGTTTGGTTTCAACTGATTCATAACTTTGTCACGGCCAACCGTCAACAGCGAAAGGATTCCTCCTCTGGAGTAAGGAGCTGCTGTTTCTTCCTAGAGACTTGGGGGGCTTGGGTGATCGTTATCTTGGCGTGTCTCTCTGCGAGAAGGGCGGGGGCGTTAGTCACGGAGACCAACGCGCTGAAGCTGGATATTGCGATCAAGGCTGCGGAACTCCCCTTGGGTACCGACTCCTGTACGGCGCACGTGAATCTTCTCAAGCACTGGATGGGAAGGAGCGGCGTGTGAAGGTATCTTCGAAAGCGTCATGAGGTCCCCTCTTGGCGTAAGGGTCATGGCGCAGGAGGTTGCGGAGGTAGAGCAGGAGCGGCTTGTGTTCAACCGACATATCTACCCAATCGGCGGTCAGAAAGCTGCGAAGCGACTCTGGGAGTGGCAGCTGGGGCAGCTTCGGTGGGTTGACGCTAACGAAGTACCGGCTATTAAGTCGCTGGAGACGCTGACTCAGGAATTGGGCGGAAAGGGGCCAGCGGTGCTTGCGCTCAAGGCTCTACCCGAGCCATGGCAGAAGGCCTTACTCGCACCAGCTGTTTCACCTAACTCGGCTGCCTCTCAGCAGCGGCAACTGCCTTTGTCGCGGTGGGGGGCATCATCCCTCTGAAGCATATGAGGAAATCAATAGCTGCTCCTCGTACCCTCGCGGCCCCCTCTAGCGACCCCCCCACCCCAAGCCGCTCTAGGAACTTGGTGGGTGTCGCTCGTCTTCAGGATCTCGGTGTCACCACCACGTTTCCTGGACACGACCAGTACGGACGCTATCACTGGAGCATTTGTTGCCACGTTTCCCCTGGACCTTGCATCAGGTCTTCTCATACTGCACAATGCATCCACCCAGGTGTCTGCGTTTAGTCAGGTAGTAGCGTCGTGCTGGTGTCGGTCGCTCACTCATCCGTCGCTACTGTGGCACCACCATCTAGGTCATCCGCGGCTCCGTCACTTGTCTCAGCACGGTCTTGTCTCTGGTATCCCCTTGTCGCTCCCCACTCCCTCTGTGAGAGGGCCGAGACTTCACATCGTAATTGAATAATGAACCTGGGTACAAATATGTCGCTATATATAGGCACGATACAAGGCAAGTAACCCAGGTGTTACTAGAAGGTACCGAGGCTAAAGAACCACCGGGAATAGAGCCTTTTGAATCCATAAGAGAATTCGGCGAACGATCACGCTCATGCAAGTTCACGCGAGATAAAATCGAGATAGTTCTAGAAAGCAGTGATACTTGGTGCACGCACTCCTATTCGGTGCTATAGCTGTAATAAGGAATAGAAAGGGATGCGAATAGGAAATAAGTGCGGAAAATGAAATAGTAAATATGAATAAGATAATTCGGGACAGAATGGATGGCGTACTCTCACAAGTTTTCCCCTCAAAGCTGGGTGGAATGAGAAACACCTTGCTTGACAAGATAATCTTTGAGAGCACGGCGTGCGTTGCCCATATCAGCTTCTGTAACCCAACTATCCTCCGAAGGATCATACCCCCTCCAACGAATCAGGAACTCGAGCGTGGTGCTGCGTCGGCGTCGGTGCGCGAGGACACGTTCCACATCGTACTCTGGTTCATCCTGGATGAGAACAAGAGGTGATGGCAGTAGCTGACGTCCCTAGTACTACTGATTGGGGTCCTTTGAGGGCTTCAGCAGCTAAACGTGGAAACAATATGAATCTTCCGTCTGGTTGGTAAGCGCAAGCGGAATGTAACGAGTTTCACCACTGGCTCAGCGAGAGAAGGACCACAAACACGTGGACGGAACTTGGATGGTAGATGAGACAGGTCCAAGTCATGAGTATCCAAAAGAACCCGTTCTCTGACTACAATCGTATGGTCACGTTGTTGGCGGTCAGCATACTGCTTATGGGAGTTCTGCATCGTGGTGAAGCGTTGATGAGTCCTGTCCAATATATGCTGCATGGTGGTGACGAAGTCGTGAGCGGCTTGGGCGTGCGGTGTGATTGGCTAATGTGGTGTCACTGGATCATGTTCGTAGGACAGGAAGAAAAGCGATTTTCCTGTAGCCGCATGAGTAGCGTTGTTGTACACAAACTTTAAGGTTTTGATCCCAGTGGCTGATGTCATCTTTGCACGATGTGCGCAGTAGCTGTTCAGCCACCTGGTTTAGTCGTTCGGTCTGTCCATCTTTCTGGGGTTGGTATGCTGAAAACATTGCAAGCTTAGTCCCAACAAACCCATGAGTTACGTCCAGAACTTACTGGTAAACTTTGGGTCTCTGTCCGAGATCAGTGTAGTGGGAATGTCGTGGATGGTGACGATGCGGTCGAAGAAGAGGCGAGCGGTAACTTCGATCGTAGCAGTGGCATTTATGGGAATGAAGTGTCTCATCTTAGACAAATTGACGATCACTACGAGTATGGCATCGTGCCCTCGAATGGTCGATGGCAGTTCAGTAACGAAATCTAGACTAACATCGATGCTCCGGTACGGGTAACAGCTGAAGTAACCCTGTCTTTTTTTCCTGCTTGCTACTCTTCATCCACTGGCCGGTGTCGCACGAGGTGACGAATTGTTGCACGACTGTTGCCATCTAGGGCCAGTGGTAATACTTTGCTATGCTGGCAAGGGTCTTGTTTCTTCCGAAGTGTCACGCATACGCCACGTCATGAAACTCCTCCATTAGGATTTGTCAACGAGGGGCGTAGTTTGGAATCCAAATTTTCCCTGAACCCTTCCGTACTACTAGGTCTCTCTCCCACTGTAGCAGTTTCTGCTTGTTTGTTGTTGCTATTTTTGGGTCCACGGAGTACCCATGTAGGAATAAGCCCTTGAGCAAAGGGTTCATCCCGTCTAGCTGGATCCCTGCTACGTGACTGGGTCGGCTGCGTACATCCACCTTGTTGGTGAGTCCCGACTTCTAGACAATGTCGTAGTGGAAATGTAATTCCAGGAAGTGTATCCACCACACCTGCTGCATGGAGAGTATCGGTTGCGACTTCAGGTATTTCAAGCTAGAGTGGTCGGTGTAGACTGTCGTTCTTGCTCCTTCGTGTAACACCTCCACGCCTTAAAATGCTGCAACGATCACCAAGGCTTCCTTATCGTGTATCGGGTAAATCAACCCCTCTCCATGTAGTTTCTTACTTAGGTATGCAATCGGCTGCAATCCGTGTCCGTGATCCTGCATCAGTACTACATTCTGTCCGGATCTAGTAGGATCAGTACTGCGGCAGTGGTCAAGGCCGTCTGTAACTGCTCCATGGCTTGTGATTGAGGGGTGTCCCATTTCTGGGAAATATATATATTTTCAATAAGTTCGTGAGGGGCGCGACTCTCTCAGCATATTACGGCACGAACCTGTTGTAATAATTCGTAAAGCATAGGAACTGCTGCAACTCCTTCACGTTCTATTGCGGCTTACATTTCTTGACTGCTTCAATCTTCCGCGGCCTACATGAACTCCTTTGCACCCACCATCTGTCCAAGAAAATGTATCTTCTTGAGGGCGAAGTCGCTCTTCGACAACTTCACGTAGAAATGATTATTCCGTAGGACTTCGAAGACTTTCCGTAGGTGTTCCATGTGCTCCTTCATATTTTAAATGTAGATAAGGATATCGCCCATGTACACTACCACACACTCGTCTAGCAAGGGCCGTAGGATGTTATCCATCTCTACATGGAATGCTGCGGGTGCATTGTAGATTCCGAATGACATCAGGAGGTACTCATAGGAGCCGTATTTTGTACGAATCGCCGTTTTGTAAATTGAATTCTCGGCCATCTTAATCTGCCATTACCTTGACCGTAAGTCCAGTTTGGAAAACACCGCCGCTTCAGGCAGTTGATCCACGATGTCATCTATACACAATATCGGGTACTTGTTTTTAAGGGTCTGCTTGCTCAGTGCCTGGTAGTCGATGCACATCTGTAAACGATCGTCCGACTTTGGAGTGAAGAGAACTGGTGGGCCGTAGGGTGATGTGGAGGGTCAGATGAGGCCGAGATCTAGCAGGTACTCGATCTGCTACTTCATGTCTCCTAGCTCTGTCGGGCTGAGGCGGTATGGTGCACGGAAGGTCGGATTTGAACCTGATACTTCCAGGACTCGTGCTGGTGAGTCCACTCCGGTGGCACCCCGGCAGGTAGGTCGTCCAGCATAATGTCCTTGTACTCCTTCAAGACCTTATGCACCGCTGTAGGTAGCTCGGAGTTCGGGTTTTCCTCTTCTGTTGCCATCAGTAGTGGTTGTTTACGTTCACTGTCTTCTTGAACCATGCAAGTCGCCTCGGGGATTTTGCCCACATCCGTCCAGCTTCGTAGGTCCATTTTTTTCCCGTTGTTGCAAATACTCTCCTTCCAGTTGACCCAATCAATCTCGGGGTTGAACCGCTTCAAGAAGACACCCCAAGTTGAATCTTCAACCCTTGATGTTAGTGACGGGAATCGTTGGTCTCCACCGTAGCGCCCCTATCTGTAACTGGAGGGT